TGGCAAAACATTGACAAAGAGAAATAAAAGAAAAAAAAAAGAAGAAAGAAAGTTTAATTATAACATCGTTGTTGAAAAGCAACAGCATTTTTTTATTTTCTATGTTTTTAAATCTATGATCAGTTTTGACTGTTGTAAGCTGTCAGAAAACAAGCAAAAAAAATTACAGTTTTGATAAAAATATAGGTTTCTGTTCTCCCTTATTCTCGATAACTACCGTTTACTTAGCCCACCACTACCTTCAGTCCTTTCTTCTTTTAGTTACACCTTATAGTTTGTCTGCAGTAAGAGTAAAGAATTATTCAACCAATACAATGACAAACAGAAATCAAAAAACGCTAATCAACTAAATTATTGAGATGAGAAATGATAACCAGTTGTATGAATATTGACAAGAATCACTGAGAATTCTATATGAGCTAAGAAAGTTTAAACGCTCTTCATGGTCCACTGACCATCCCAACAGCAGATACATTGAGCATACATTAGCTTTTCAGCATCTTAGATATCATTCCACTGAAATATTACAATTTTCTGTAAAAATCTTAAAAATCTTACAAATTTGACTATTCTGATACAGTTAATATTAAAAAACAGCTCTTTTTAATTGAGAAAAAGAGACAATAATGAACAATAATCTCAAAAATCGGTTAGATTATCTTTCGTGAGTAGATTATTGTTATGTAAAAAAAAAAAAAACGAATTTAAACCTTTTAACAAGATTTTTGCCATTTATTTCTTTTCATGATGTAATATCTTGATAAATGTTAAACTTGTTTTCTGTTTTACTTCTCAATACCCTATCTGTTTTTCAAAACTCATCAGTCTCAATTACACTAGGCTAAATTTTTTTCTAACTAAACAAGAATCTTTATACGTTATAAATGCATCAAAACTTTTGTGTTTTTAAAAACATCAGTGTATGGACTGGTTATTGTCAGACTGTACATTTCCACTCTAGAACCGAGACTAATATAAGCAAATAATAAAGATTTCTATTCTCGCAAAATATTTTGATTTGAAAAACTGCTATTTTGGTGTTATAAAATTACGTGATCAGCTACTAGAAAGACAAAAAAAGCTTTTTGCAAACGTTTAAAATTTTAAATTTTTAAAAATAAAATAAATTAATTAAAATAATACTCCTAACTAATGAAAATTTGTTATTTTAGTCATTCAGAGTGGTAAACCAGGATGACAGTTGCACAACACAGCAACTGGTTTTACAATGGTTTCATAAATTGATTCACCAGTGACCGAGGTAAATTTGCCTATTAACTTTTGGTTCGCACAAAATTTCTTATAATATGACATTTCTCTATAATATTTTGGAAATCTATTTATCTGTTGTCATACACCTGAAATCTCTGGTTTACTATCTAATACCCTATATTTTTTGATAATGACACTAAAACAGCCAAACCAGAAAGCTGAATGTAAAAATCAGGCAGCAGTTGCGTACTTCACGCTACATATCAGATTTGGTCGTTGTCAACGTAACTTGTGTCGCTTATGGTTCTTTCTACAGATCTAGGTGCTGACATCTAAAAAGGACAAGAAATTGAACAAAAAAAGGTATAATGGTATTAGACTTTTGTAGATTTTGATGCCAAATAGCTGCGGTAATACCTGAGCTCTCTGAGGCATGACGGCAAAACAGTATGGAGAAAATGGTGGAAGTGGAACGAATTTTCCAGAACCTTTAACAGTGTTCAGTTTTCCGTTCTCCCAAACAACCTTGCCTCTTGAGATGGTCATCTCGCAAACATCATGTACCTGAAAATGCTCAGAGTAAAATTTACAAATTTCTGTTTCAGGAGGCCGATAAAAAAAGTGGAAAACAAAAGTAAAAGGTAATTGATTTTCAACAATAAATAAAAATATTTTTGTTCTTTTTTTTCGCTGAGTAATTCACCTCCATGCCCTCAAATATGTTAAAGTCGTAGGCTTGATGGTGCGTTGAAGAAGAAATAACTCGTGTTCTATCAGGATTCCAGATAATAACATCAGCATCTGAACCAGGAGCAATTCTTCCCTTATAATAAAAAATTTCTTTCATAGCTTGTATGGCCTGTTCAGTGCCAATTATTATAAACCGAATCTTATTAACTGGTTTTGAAAAAAATAATTAAACTTACAGAATTGATCAACACCAACTCATTCATAAGTACTCATTTACTGCACAGCTGATAACTTTTACAGAAGCACTCTTGTTTCAAATCAAATTTTGCTTAACGATCATTAGAGCAACATATCATATGCTTGACAGTTTAGTTCCTTTCACAACCGCAACAGTAACAGCAAAAAAAAAAAACAACAGGTAACTGTTTGCTGATGATACATTGGAAGCCTTCTGCAGATATATGTCACCAGCATAGCTTAAGCACTACAAAAAATAATAGAGCTGAACCACAGAAATTAATGAGTTCTATCATCCGACTTAACAAATGGTCCACTCTTTTGAAACATTTAGTAAACAACTAAATTTTTCATGGTAAATACCACTTTGTTTGCGTCAAAGTTTCTCTCATAGACTCGACATCAGAAGAATTAAACAAATCACTGCTGCTGATAATTATTCTGATACTTACCTTTTGAGGATAAATGTTGAAAATTTTTGCCGCCATCGAGCTGCAAACAGTATTACTTTATGGTTCCAATTTAATACTTACGCTTACAACGTCGTTGTGCACACGTCACACGAATTATTTATGAATGCAAAAAAAAAAAAGAAAAAAGAAGTGGTACTTGATAAAAAATGTTCTGTGGTGTCCATTAACAGTTAACTGTGATTAGTTACTATTAGTAACAGTGGCAGTAATTATTCCTTAATAAGAAACAGAAATTTTCAACAAAAATTTAGGTATAAATTGTACAATTGCAAAAAGTTAATAAGTTTAAAATCAATCACTGAATACCTCAATTATAAAAAGAAAATTTTTTTGCTGAACTGTTTTTACTGCTTTAATCGCACAGATCGAGAACCGTAACTTAAAGTAAAAAAAAATTTTTTTCAGCTTAGTACCTCATAATAGAAACAAAACGCATTGGGTCGATTTTACCAGTGTAAACACCTTTCTCCCAAACTACACTCATCCGATCTTCAATACCATTGACACCATTTGGAATTTTTAAGAAATCTTCTCGACCGGCTTCCTTCTGCGCTTTTGTAAACGTACAATTATCGGTTGCAGTCAAATGTAATTGCCCGCTAAACAAGACATAAACAACTTTAAAAACTTTCATGGTTTATTTTTATCTCTCTACTTATCTTAATTTTATTTAATTAACCTTATAATGTTTTCACTAACAACTGTTTACTTTACCAAGCCAATAGATCCATTAATGTTATCCTGGTCGACGGATCTCTGCTAAGCGGCGGTGACATAACATGAGCTGCTGCATGTGCCCAGTCTTCATTGTAGTAATGTGAACCATCTAAGAACTTTTCCGTTTCCAACACTCTTTAATAACATTGAAATTTTTTGTGTTTAAACTGGTTATTAAGTAGTTTATCGGCAGCAAGGCCAGCTGCAATCGATTCTCCGAATACTACAGCACCTTTCTGACGATGTCGAGCAATAGCTAATGCAGCACCTTTAGACATCACATGGACAATATAAAGCGGACAGTTTGCTAATGATGCAAGTATACAGGCTCGATTTGTCGCTTCCGCTTCCAGCTGAACGGCATTGCAAGTAGATAGGATTGCAAAATTTTGTAACTGTCAGTGTTATCTGTGATCACCTCTTCTGGCCGACTCTGAGTATGACCTTCTGGGCCGATAACTCCGTGTCTTAGAAGTTCTTTTTGTTTTTCGATAATTACAAGACCATTTTCAGCATGTACACGAGCCAACGCACCAAGCTGAGTGCAATGGAGCATAGCATGGTAGAATTCTCCATCGTTTAACATGTAGTCACTGTAAGCAAGGAAGAACTTGAAAGAGTTAATCCCTAAAAAAAGCGTATGAAATACATACAATCAGTTTAAAGACTGAACCTAGATTATACAGAAGAGAAAATATTTGCAGCTGTAAATGCGACAAAATTTCTGTTTATTCTTGTTGGAAATTTGATCTACTTGCTAAATCTATTTTTTCTAAAAAGAGTAAATTTTTTTAACCGTATTTTGGCTCAACAAGTTTTGCCATTTCCTCTGCAGTTTTGTTATTGTATGAAGTAATACCAACTGTTAGACTGCAATCGCAACAAACCTATATCATATCTTAACAAAAATTAGGTGCAGAAATATGGCAGTAGAAATGATTTGTTACTGAACTGAGTTGTCTAAGCAGTTATCAACTGTACAGCTATTCTACTAAATATACGTTTTAAAAGGTCATTTTTGTTGACAAGCTTAAATCCTACTTTTGGATCTGCCCATTCTCGCCATTGTTTATACGCGCCAATAGGTGTTTCCTTTTTCACCGGGAGAACAATGTCGATAAACTAAAAAAAAAAAAAGTGGGAAAAGACTAATTTTTTGAAGATTATTCGAGAAACTGTTTTCTTAAAGCCTTACTTGATTACAGTTATCTAAAACGAAAACACCTCTTTTGAAACAAGTTCCATTTAAATTAACTAATTATTAAAACAAAAAAAAAAATTCCGCTCAAAAATGTCTTTTGCAAAACCAAATCATTTTTATTCCACCTTTCAAAGTTGAATTAAGTTAAGCTCAATCTTACAAAGATACTTTGAATTTTTGCAGTACTTTTTGTAAAATCAATGTTTTTGTTTTACAACAAAATTTTTTGCATTACAGACTGCTTATTCTTAATCAGTACTTTAAATCAACTTATTTAATCGGTCTTTTAGTTGACGATCGTAAAATTTGTTTACTTAACAAAGTAAGCATTGTTTTTCCCTTTTCACAAATAAACG